GAAGAAATTTGTGACTGATTTACTGAATTTTAGTTACAGTCTTATGTCTTACTCTTACTTAGGGATCAGTTTTAGTCATTTACTTTAACAGATAATCAACAAGTCTCTATTTAGTTTTAGTGTTTGTTTCTTTAACTCACCTCATTGTGTTTGGGGTTTGACATCATATCTGMGGGGGGGGGGGGGGGMSRACTAGGCTTGCTATGAAAGGTTTGCTGGAAAATGGAAGTAGGAACATTTTGTCTATATGCAGACAGGGGATCCACAGTGTTGTGAAAAACTTTCTATGTGTATAAATTAACATTCAAGGCTGTATACTGGACCATTTTCCTGCACCTGATTAGAGTCCTAAGATCATGCTTCTTTCAGGGTGGTCAAGTTGATCATGGTTAAGAGCTGTGTAAACCTCATGATGGAAGCAGATGACCCACCAGGTCTGTGTGCACAAAATCAAACTGCTGTCCAGGTATAGGGAATGACTCAAAATATGTTTTAGTGTGCCTGTCATGCACCTACCTTTCCTCCCACTTGAGGCCCATGGACCCAGACTGGAATGTGAGGATATCTGCATCACTAGGCTTGTCTGCAGCCATAGCAGATAAATCACTGCCAATGTACAATGGATGACAGGAAGTCAGCCACCAAGTTGAATTTGCCAGCCACGTGCTGAATGTCTGTTGGAAATTCAGAAACAGTGACAAGGTGGTGTTGCGGATGTGCAGACAATGGATCAGAATTCTTGAACGTTGCAAACACAAAAGGCAAGTGGTTGCCAAACCTCAGATACCCGCTGCTCTAACACTGCCCCTGCATGTCAGGTGTATCAGTTGTCAAAGCTATTTGCGCTGATGGAAATGGGTCGGCCAAAAGGGCAACATTGGCCAATTCAGATTTAGCGTTACAAAATGCCTGGAGGCGTTCTAGGGTCCAGTCAATGCTTTTGTAAGAACCTGCTTTATGAGACTAATACCAGCTTAATCTCATAAAAGTCATGTCCCACAAGATCTTGCAGAAGGAAATCAGGAANGACCCTACCAGGGGCATAAAGCCCCAGACAGCATAGCTCCTAGGATCATTGGGACACTCAAACCCCTCCACCACCATAAGGTAGCAGCACAGGGAGAGGTTTGTCTAAACCACTAACTGCAAAACATTAACACTTTATGAAAGTGATTAATACTGACTATTAATATGAATTATTCAAACTATCTGCAGTTGACTGAAGCTGTTCACACAGAGCTTTGAGTTTTAAACAGACATGTTTTCTTACTGTGAACAAGATATCTGATGAACTAATGACAGGATCATTATGAAACTCTCAGGAAATCATAAGTGAACTAATAACTTGAACTGATTAACTTTTGGGGTCAATCCCACTTAAGATGGCCACAAAATGAGGGACTRCACATAGAAACTACAAACATGGCTGCCACTCTGCCAGAGACCCAGGGAGTGACATAAATCTACACTACACAGATAAAATACAGCATTTATTTAAAGCTAAGAGTGTACATGTACATTAAGTGTCAGAAGTATTCAGTTACAGTTACTGTGTTTAGTTAAAACACATTAYAGGCCCACCAGCTGATCAGAACCAGGGTGGGGGCGGGACTTCACCAAACTTTGATCCAGATTCTTGAAGTGGGCATGATGTCATCCATCATGTGATTTCAACCAATGTGGGAAAACAGTTCAGATAAACAGTTTGTTAGTAATGTAGAGTACACACACTAAATAAAAATACACTAAAAGAGCCACATTTGTTTGAAATAAAACTGTAGTACAGATCSTCTCTGAATATGCTCTGTGGTTTTATAATGTAATCTACAGGACAGCTCATAAATTATTTTTAAACACAATCTTCATAATGTACACACTGATAACCAACGTTAAYACTAAGGGTGTATTTTGTGTTAAATTCAAAGGATGATATTTAAAAACTATATATCAGAGTTAAACCTTTGCTCAGTACAAAATAACTTTTTAATGTGCTTGATTGACAGGTGTGTCTTTAAAATAGTTATTTTACATTAATGTATCAGATGACTCTCTGCCTGAAACAATTGTACGTAAAGTTGTTATAAATGTGAGTTTCATCCTGTTGTGTTGTGTTTTTAAAGTGATGTGTCCAACATAGTGTGCCCTTTGTGTGTTTAGTCCTGTGGTTCACGTCACACTAACTGCAGCTGTCCTTTCTGCCCAGGACAAACCTCCCCCCTACTCCCCCCCAGAGGACAAGAAGAACCAGTAGACCTGTGTGATGTCATCATTTGTTTGTCTCCCTCCATCCTACTGGACCGCTTCTTCTCTCATTCCCTTCAAGTGGAWACTTCCCTGAACCACTACTCCCTGTTCAGCAGCACCTTCACCTGATGGGAAGAGTGGGCAGACACCACACTGGTTACAGTCTGTGTGTACTTTAACACAACCCTACATATTTTAGTATTTATTGCTTCTTGACTGTCCCAGAATCATCCAGCCTGTAACCTGTAGGATTAACCAGGGTTGAGTTTCCTCTGATCAGGTCAGATAGTTTGCTAACCTGTTCACAGGTGAGCTGAGCTCTTTTTTTTTATCATTTGTGTGTACAGCTTTTTAATGTGTACACTTGGAAAGAGGATATTTTGTGGAAAYAGTAAAAAGGTTTTGTAACGTGAGCAGATCTCTGTGAGCCCCCAGGCTGACGGGGTTCAAAGGATTATCTTTATCCAACARCAGAGCTGTCGCCCAGTGATGTCACTTCCTGTTCTGGGGCCGGGGAAACAAAGATTCACCTGTACTTACCTGTCACTCTTCTGTTCTGTGTTTGAACTTGTGTAGATAAACACACAAACWTCTTTCTGTTTCAGTGTTTGTGATGTGAAGCCTCAGTTTCAGATTAGTCCTGTAATCTAATCTAATCTCAGCCTGTGAGTATCTGCGCCTCCACTTCCTGTGTGCTCAGTAATCTGTCAGCTGTATCTGTGGCACATCGTGGCTCATTTCTTTGCACTTTTAGGACACTATGCATCGGGCTGCTGTCACGGTTGTGTGTACGGTTAAATAACGCTGTATTTATTTCAACTCTTTCATTGAACAAAACATGTCGAACTGGCTGAAGTAGGAAAACAACGCATGATGTCACCWGATGCATGTCTGCGTTGGACTGAGTCTGAATAAATGACTGTGGACTGCTGCAACAGAGTTGTGTTTACTTCTGTAAGATTGTGTGTTTTATATGACAACCTTACACTGATGATGTGTCTTTAGACATCTGACACATCCAAACGTTTCTGAGCCTCGAGCTCCAAATCATGTAAAGTTCACCACAAAGCTCAGTGTAAACTACAGTCTGCCAGGGGACAGTTTTTTTTCTTTTGTGTTCCCTCACAATACTTTTGTGTTCCCTCACAATACTTTTGCATAACCTCACAATACTTTTGCATAACCTCACAATACTTTTGCATAACCTCA